TGGGCCGCGTCGAGAGCGCTACTTCCTTGTGCTTGTCGACGACTTCACTCGCTACACGTCGGTCTTTCCCCTGGAGCGGAAGGCAGACGTGCCTGCCGCTCTCATCCCCTGGCTTGTCTCTGCCCGTGTCCACCGAGGTCTCCCTGTATTGCGCCTTCACTCCGACCGTGGTGGCGAGTTTGCCTCAGGTGTCCTTGGTCGCTTCTGTCGTGCGGAGGGCATCACCCAAACGTTCACCCTGCCGGACTCCCCACAGCAGAATGAGGTCGCTGAGCGACGCATCGGTTTGGTCATGGAGGTGGCTCGCACCTCCATGATCCATGCCGGTGCACCCCATTTTCTGTGGCCGTTCGCCGTGCGCTACGCTGCTTCACAGCTTAACCTGTGGCCGCACCCCCAGCTGCCGCAGGTTTCGCCGACCCTTCTTTGGACCTGGTCTCTGTGACGCGTCTGCGTTCTCCACGTCTGGGGCTGCCTTGCTCTCATTCGTGCCTCTGGCACGGACAAGCTCACTGCCCGCACCCTTCCCTGCGTCTTCCTAGGTTTCCCCCTTGACGCGTCCGTCTGGAACTTCTACCACCCGCCGTCTCACTGGTTCTTTCACTCTCGCGACGTCACCTTTGATGAGTCCGTCTCCTTCTACCGTCGCTTCCCCACCGCGGTCCCCCGGTTACCCCCCCCCTGTTCCTAGTCACTCCTTCCCCGGTAGTCCCTGCCCCCCCCCCCTCCACCTCCCCGTCCTACCCCCTCTGGTGTGTCCCACGTCACCCCTCTCCCGTCAGTTGTCCCGGTCGAGAAGTCCTCTGACTCTGCTGGTCCTGCGGCGCAGTCCTCGCCGTCTGCCCCTCCCCCGGTAGCTCCCCCCCCCACAGCCTCTGCAGCCGCCATCGCCCCTGCTCTCGCAGGCGTCGTTCCCGGCCGCCGCCGCCGCCGCCGTCGCAGCCGCAGTTCGTCGACTCTGGGGGTGCCTGCATTGGGGTGGGTGCTAGTTCTGGGGTTCCTGTTGTGGCCTGCCCCGGTGGCCCTGGGGGTTGTACTGGTGCTCGGGGGGTTTCGGGTTCTCGGGGTGTTCCTTCTGGGGGTGCCAGAGTAGAGTGTCCCAGAGGTAGCCGTGGAGCAGCTTGCGGTCCAGGTGTTGGTGTTGTGCCGCCTCAGCAGCAGTCCCCGCCGGTGTCAGCCCTTCGCCTGCTCGGCCTTCCGTCCCCTGACCCTGCATCCGTTCCTCGCCTGCCGTCTCCTCCTCTTCCTGTCTACGGCCCTGTGTTCGCTCCGCCGGACTCATCCCCGGCTCGTCTTCCCCCTCGCTCCCCCCTTGTGTCCCCTCCTCTGTCTCCTGACCAGACGCCTCCGTCTCACGTCTGGTCCCGCCGTCCCTCCCGCGCTCGTCCTGTCTCCCCTGTCACGCGCTCTCACCCTATGTTGCTCCGTTCCCGCGCGTCTCGTCCTCCCCTTCTACCTTCGTGCCACTTGTCCTCTTGTTCCTCGGGTCCTCGCCTCTCTCGTTACCGACCCGTCTGTTCCGGTCTCGTGTCTTGACGCTCTTGTCGCTGCAGTCGCTGACTTCGCCTCTACCCGCCGCCTTGACTACGCCACCGCTCTGGTCTCTGACCTTGCCTGTCCTCCGTCTGTCGGGGGTGCTCCTGCCCTCGGCAGTGACGTCCTGGAGGACCGCCAGTTCGAGCTTGCTTTCCTGTCCGAGGCTGCTCCCCATCTCTGTTCCATATTGCTAGTCCCTGAGGGTGACCCAGACGCTTTCGACATCCCGACCCTAAGGCGACCTCAGGACCCTGGGCCTCCCAGTGGATAGCTGCCATGGAGCAGGAGATGGCATCTTGGAGATCCACCGGCACCTTCGTCGACGCAGTTCCCCCGCCTGGGGTGAACGTAGTCGATGGCCGCTGGCTCTTCAAGGTGAAGCGCCCTCCTGGAGAGCCGCCTGTGTTCAAGGCGCGCTACGTGGCTAGAGGCTTCAGTCAGCGTGAGGGGGTGGACTTCTTCCAGACCTTCGCTCCGACCCCAAAGATGACTACTCTTCGGGTTCTGTTACACCTAGCTGCTCAGCGTGACTACGAGCTTCACTCTCTCGACTTCTCGACTGCCTTCCTTCAGGGCAGCCTACACGAGCAGGTCTATCTGCGGCGCCCTCAGGGCTTTACTGGCACCTTCCCTCCTCGGACCCTGTGGCTCTTGCGGCGTCCCGTCTACGGCCTCAGCAGGCTCCCCGTGAGTGGCACGACACGCTGCGTGCTACCCTTGCTGATCTGCAGTTCTTTCCCTCTTCCGCAGACCCCTCACTCTTCGTTCGTGCTGGCCAGACTCCGTTCTACATCCTTGTTTACGTAGACGACCTGGTCTTTGCCACAGTAGACAGGGACGCACTGGCCTTCGTGAAGGCAGAGGTGTTGAAGAGACACACTTGCACTGACCTTGGAGAACTGCGCCGTTACCTTGGCTTGCAGATCTCCAGGGACAGAGCAGAGAACACCATCACATTGACTCAGTCACACTTGGTGCGCCAGGTCCTTTCAGAGGTTCGGCCTTCACTTCTCTTCTGCACAGCCCACCCCTCGGCCTGTAGACCACATACTCTCCGTTCCAGTTTCTGAGGAGCAAGTAGAGCCCAGTGGCCCTTACGCAGAGCTGGTGGGTTGCCTCATGTACCTGATGACTTGCACTTGCCCAGATCTCGCATACCCTCTCAGCATCCTGGCTCGCTTTGTGGCCACAAGTAGACACCGACCGCAGCACTGGTCTGCCGCTAGGAGGGTTTTGCGTTATCTTGCAAGTACATCGGGCATGGGGTTAGTGCTAGGAGGACGCAGGTCAGTGGTCCTTACTGGAAACACAGACGCTTCTTGGGCAGACGACGCCGAGACACTCAGGTCTTCCCAGGGCTACTGCTTCAGCCTTGGTTCAGGTGCCGTATCGTGGAGAGCTACCCGCTCCTCGTCTGTTGCCCAGTCCAGCTGTGAGGCCGAGATCTACGCTGGTGCCATGGCGGCACAGGAGTTCTGCTGGCTGACCTTCTTGCTCACAGACTTAGGTGAGCGGCCTAGCTCTGCCCCGGTCCTGTACGCTGACAACAGGGCCATGATTCTCCTGTGTCAGGAGCCTCGACTCGAGGGCAGAGCGAAGCATATCCAGCTGCGGTACTTCCTCCTGCGCGAGCTACTGCAGCGCCGCCAGGCTCGCGTAGTACACTTGGCCTCCGGTGCCAACACAGCTGATATCTTTACGAAGGCGCTTGCGCCTAAAGATCATCAGCGGCACTTGGTACAGCTTGGTCTAGTTCCTATAGTCTCTCAGTTGCTAGGGCCTTGACTTTGTACTGTCCTTTATATATATATTCACTCAGACTGGACTTGTGTCCTCTCCCAGTGGCTGGACTAGTAGTGCCGCCCTGGTCTTGTTCTTGTCTTGCTTGTACTTTTGTTGACTGGTCTTTAGACCCTTGTCTCAGTGGCTGGACTAGTAGTGCCGCCCTGAGCTGCTTGTTCAGGAACTGCCCCTATGTAGTCTAGGGGGTATGTCAAACATTAGTATATCTTGTGTTTGTATAGACTGTATAGGGTCACCTCTTAGAGAATACAACCCTTAGATATGTATGCTTGTACCTAGGTTCTCTAGTTATTTTATACTCAGTTCTAAGACTTAGAAGGAGGTTTAAGCTAGGTAGGAGAGAGAATAGTGAGAGAAAAGGGGGGACAATTAGTGAAGAGAGATACAAAAGGGTGTTGTACCCTCTACAGTAGGAACCAGCACTCTGTAGTACACCTACCTAGCCTATACATCTATATGTATGTATATATATAATATTGACATGTACCTATCTAGCCTATAACAATATATAAATATATGTTGACAGGCCAATCCAAGCTGCCCTGGAAAAGGAGCCAACAAAGGAGCCACATCTTCAACCCTAGGAAGAGTCTCATGATAGTTGTGCAATACAAGAAAATTCCACAAGGTCATCCAGCCTCGGGTCTGCTCACAGATCCATAGGAAGGCCTAACACGGACTATCAAATTTGCCCCATGTGTGCGGGATTTGCCCCATATGCCCGGTCTCAGGTATAACTAGAGCTGTGTGCTATAACGAGCCACTAGTGGGAGCACAGAATTGAAACAGAATGTCTCACTGCAGAGGCAGAGCCAACAAGCAACAAGGAACACCAACACAGCAGCTACAGACACCTAGCAACAGACATGTCGTAGTCGAATCTAAAACTTAGAAGCAAAGTAACAGCGCAGCAAAAGAGCTAAAGCCGATTCATCTTCCCCGCGGGTTAGTAGGCCTGACGGCACGGACTGCCTAGGCTGGGCGCCTCGAGAGCAGCCCTGCAGTTCGCAGCAGCCTTAGGAGAGCCTAGAGCCTAGTGGGTGAGGCGGCACGGAGTTAGTAGCTCTTGCAGCAGACGAACTCGCCGTTCTTCTGGCAGCAGCCGCCCTTCTTGCAGCACTTGTCGCCGCCGCAGCACGGATACTCGGGGCTCTGCGCATGGCAGACGCGCGGGGAGGGGAGAGATGGGGGTGAGAAGGTAGCAACGCGAGAGATCAGCGGATGAATCGCGCAGCACTTGCCGCCGCCGCATCACGGGAGAAAGAACGAGGCGGAAGTGAGGGAACATGAGAAAACAGGGAGTGAGAGCGATGAATGCTGGCTGGCAGTTGAACGACTACGGTGGTCGAGCAGGCGATATTGACAAAGACGGTCGGACGAAACGAGGCAGGCTACCCGAAGAATATGAGACAAGGGGCATGCGAGAATAAGGGCACTGACGAAGACGGTCGGAGAAAACCGAGATAGGCTAAACTGAGAATGGGAGACACGGGTCATGCGGTCCAAGTCCAGTCGAGCTTACGATGCAGCACGCGCCGCCGCAGTACTCGCTCGCGGGAGACGGGCCCTTCTTTCCGGCATACGGGCACACGCCAGTGCCGTCGCCGGCAGCGTTGCGGCGCTTCTTGTGCTTCGGCTTGTACGAGCCGGTCTTGCCGCCCTTTGCGCCGGTCGCCGCGCCGCTGCTGCTGGCCAGGATGCGACGCTCTGCGACGTCAATGGCGTCGTCGCCGAGAAATTCTGCGACTTCGTCAGCGGCGTCGTCGAAGCTGAACTCGTCGTTTTCGATCGCCGACGCGACGTCGGACGCAGCGGTGCGCGAGGGGAGCAGGTGCAGCACGAGCGCCGCCGCCAGGAGAGCGAGGAGGGAGAAGCGGAGAGAATTCATATTGGCGCGCGGCTACTTCCAGAAACACTAATTAAAACAGGAGGAAAAGGCGGGGATGGTAACGAGAAATGGTGGATGAAGGAAAGGCGCGGTGGATGAGATGTGGGATTGATAGTAAGAGGCTTGGCTGGGAGACTTGGCTGCTGGGGGATGGTTTGATTGTGATGGCAACGCGCGGCATTTGTACCTGCCAGCATTGCTGCCCACGGAAAGACGCACGCACGCTGCACTGCAGCGGTAGTACAGAACTGGGCCGAACGCGCGCTAGGCGTTTCAGTGTGGAAACGGCTGGGTTGCGCGTGTCGCGAGCGTGGATGTGGTGAGTTCGTGTTCGTGCTGCTTTGCCTGCGGCGGTCATCTAGGCGGGAACGGGGGGGTCAAGAGAAGAGCGTGCTTGTGTGGGGCACTGGGGCGGGGGGGACTGGTGGTGGGGGGAGTAGAGGAGGCCCGCCGCTACGTCGGTCCTGCTGCGGATTACGGTCGCGCATTGTGGGTGCTAAGAAGGACTGCATGCGTGCGACGCGATCGGTGGAGTGAAAGGTGGTTTACTTGATGCCTGGGTGGGGGAGAAGCGCGACGCAGAAGTTGCGGACGTGGGGTGGGGAAGTTGGAGGTTCTGTGGTCGGCTCGGCAGGGCAGGCAAGGGGATGATACCGTTATGAACCAAGCGGTAAACCACTAGATGTCCTGTTAACCGGATAGGGGAGAGAACGAGGCGCGAATTGAGGAACATGAAGATGGCCCATGCGCAACCCCGAAGCACACATACTCACGAGTCAGGAGGAAGCCCGTGACATTTGCAGTCTCTCCTCGCATCGCGAACGAATGTTGCAGTTCTAGTAGCGAACGACTGTGAGTGAAGTGAACTGATGAAAATAATTTAATCGTCAAGCTGCACTCACCATGTAGCCTTATGTTACGGGATAGTAAGCCTAACACTTCACAATTGATTATTTTTGTAACGTCACTTAGGAGATTTGGTTTGATTGTTGTATCGATTTTTTTAAAGAAAACCAAATGTTTGACTTAAAAATATTCAACTCGAACTATTTTTTGTAAGTGTAATCAGTAGTATCTAGTCAAACTGTACGATAAAAAAACAAAGCATGCATGATTGAAATTGGAAATTCGTTATTATTATCATTCGTTGTATGTGTGGTGAAAATGTAAAGAAAATTGTATGTGAAATATCGTATCAAACTGTTGCTTAGAGGGTTTTAGAAAGAAAGCGCTTCTACACATACTGGGCCACTCAAAATGGCAGGCACTCCCTCAGCCCACAGTTCTGTTGAGCATGTTGCTCAGCCGTTACGTTTGACCGCACAAGTGCAGTGCGTGTAGAACAGGACTTATGTTAGTTTTTTTAACAACTCTGGCCCTCAGGGCTCCGTTAAAAATTATTCCTGAAAATCCAGGGTCTGAATATGTACTGCCTGTTTTTTTCAGGACCAGCACAAGAAATGCTCGGAGAGGAAACATTTTTTAGGATCTTACTTGAGGTTCTTCCACGCTCTGTGGCTCATCGGCATCACATGTGTTCTAGGGCTGTGTGGGGAGTACTCCTGCCCAGATAGTAGCCCGGTAGTTGGGTACTATGAGGACAGGTGTTAGCAGAGCAGGAGAAACTTGTATTCTAGGGGGAGACACCGGAAGGGGGGGTGTAGGTATGAATAATTTCAGGGTTACCGAAAAATCTTCTCTGATTTTCCGGGGTAGCCTTGAGAAATTCACGGATTCTGTCAGGAATGGGTGGAAATAATCCAGAAACAATCAGGGCTGGTCTGGAAACTACCTTATAATTTCAGTCAAGTCAGGGCAAATGCCTTAATGACATATGCTCCGGTGTAGAGCAGACCCACCAGCTTACCACAATCCCTGTCAGTTTGCCATGATGATCCTTTGAGAGTTTTGCGAAGTCCTTCGCTGCTGCACCGCAGCAGAGAATCCTTTCGAGAATTTCGCGGCAGTCGCGGGACTTGTCGTGACTAAGTGAAACCTACAGTGCCACCAACTCCAGCTATTGACGACCAGCACGGGTTGCCATTTTGTGAATGGGGAGACAACAACAGCTGGGTTATTTATGGTCGCCACTTGCCATGTTGGACCTGAATACCATCCATCCAGCACATTCACTGAGGTGAGGATACCCCAGTACTGTAGTGCTAGTGCTTCATCAACCTGGTTCCGACAAACCAATACGGAAAATATGTGTGCCGAACTGAAGTCGCAGCCATACAAACTGCCCGTCATGCCTGAAATAATATAAGGGCTAGAAATTCTAGGGCATGTTGCTGCTTGGAGTTGAAATTCTGGCTCATGGCACAGCTGGCGCTTGACTGGCGCTCTCTGTCTAACCACCACTCGCCTGTCGTGTCGTTACCCTCTCTGGCATCCATTTGCTGCAGACAAACCACAGTTTGGATTGCACAGCAGGTGGACACCTGGCGCCAACTTCCAGCCACGTCAGGCTGAGTGCACACCTGCGCTTCTCGCAACTCTCATGTCTTCTTCCATTGCGCCCATGTCCCCTCCCCCTAACATCGACCCCTTGCGCCCGGGAATTACCAGAAACACTCAAATTATGCCAGGCACTGTGTTCATCTGTACTCAAGCCAATCACAGGGTTTATTTCCGCTGCCCGAAACGAGCTTAGGGTTGATGCCTCCCGAAGTACAACCACGTTCCCTCTGGGGTTTATATTTTTAGGCTGCCCAGAAACGATGTGATTCGCTTGAGTACAGATGAACACGGTGCCTGGCAGAATTTTGAGTGTCGGCGAAGTTGTCCCCCTTGCGCCCCTGCCCCTGTCCTCTTCATAATCCCCCCCCCCCCATTTCCAGGCGCCTCCTCAGTTCCCTCCCCCCCTCTTGCTCCTCTGCGCGTATCTTTCCTCCCAAGCCTGTTTATCAGCCCAGCACAGCGCAACAAGAATTGTCAGAACCACGACACCAGTTTTTTCAAGAGTAACCGCTCCTTTCATTTGTACCAGCTCGAGTCTAAGAGCCCAGGATCGATAAATTTGTTAGGTTGACACGTTCAAGGCGCACGTCACAAGGTCATTTTCATTCCTACAGTCGTCGTCGCAACATGGCGGAGATCGTGAGAGTTTTCGTGCTTCTCGCTCTCGTCTCAGTAGCGTTCGCCGCGCCAGTGGTCGATGGCAACGCGGATTTGATTGAGGCGAAGAGCGCCCTCAAGAAGTGGGGCGAGTATGGCACCTACATGAAGCTCCTCCAATCATCTGGTAACCTATCAACCCTAATCTCCCCGCCGCTTCTCCTGGAACATGTCCCTCTACTGCATTTCGGCCTCCTTTATTTTCCCTTCTCTCCTTCATGGGTATTTTAACTATCCTAATCGGCCTTCCCATTCCTTTTTCCATTTTCTATCTTCTCCCCCTTCACCAGGATTCGAGCCCATCCTCGCGCGATACATCCAAACCCAACCCGTAACCCTCCTCGTGCCCAACGACAAGGCCTTCTCCACTCTCCCCATGCGCGTCAAATCCCAGCTCACCGGCTCCAAGCTCATCAAGCTCCTCGAATTCCAGATGATCCTCCAGAAGCTTCCCTCCGGCTTCCTCAAAATGGCGCAGCCCGGCTCCAAGTTCCGCACCGTGTACGGCGTGACGCTCGTCAAGCAAAAAGCGGCTCTCAAGAACACCGTGATTCTCGGCGCGCCCGGCGCCACGATGCCGTCGCAGATGGCGGTGGTAACCCGCGGCGACATGGCTGCGGCGAAGCTGATGCTGCTGTGCCTGCACGGCACCAACAACGTCATCCTCCCTCCCAACGTCTTCTTCTAAACGCTCTTTCCGCGTCGGCGTAAACCAGCGTGCCATCCCACCATTACGGCTCATGGATGTCATCCCGTTCGCGTAGATCAAGGAAGCTCGCTGCCGTTAGACGTGGTTTCTTTCCAACCCGTCGTCGCTGACCGACAGTGTCAAGCCGCCTCATACGGTCTCCTCCCTCCCTCCTCGGGACGGGAAGATCCCAGCCACCAACATTAGTCACCCTTCCGTCCACCTCCCATCTCCTCGTTGGGGAAGGGTTACGCCGAGTCGTCGTCCATCACCCATCCTCGGCTTTCATCTCACGCTCTTGCCAGGGTTCTCGGACTCTCTTCGGGGCTGGTCTGTACCAAATCTGTGCCGTTATTCCTTCATTCGTTTGCCATAAACAGTTTCTAGGGTTTTCTTGGAAACCCCTCTTATTTATTTAATTCATTGGTAATATCTAGCTGCTGATTTGCTAGATCTGGGATATCAGTTTCCACAACCAAGGCTGAAGGAAGAGGATGCAAAAAGCTACGAAGTTCCTCACGAAGGCAACCTCTCATCAGACCGGCGTCATACCTACCAGAACCGTCAAGCACCACGGCAATGAACATTTGTACTGCACAGTTCCCCGGATGACTGATAAGGGGCCCTTCTGGTAAGGGGTCGCGGAACATGCTGGGTACATTCTTCAGTTCAGAAGCATTCACATGTAGGCCCTGATCGGTTGGCCGTATTCTGGAATAAGGATGGTGTCGAGCTATTTCTCAGGGCTGACTCGGAATAGGCTTAAAATCAATCAATCATTTTAATCACACCAAACCTCCTGGAATAGAGGTGTGTACCGATCACCAGAATAAGGAAGGCTGGAATACGGAATAAGGAAAGGGCACCTGGCTGCAGACTCAGCTGGTCGATGTGCATTCCAGCTTTTTTTCAGGAATAGCTGGGAATAGTGAAGAGTGGGGCAATCCAGACGCAATAACTAATGCCCTTATTTCGGAAACGGGAAACGTCGAATACCCAATACCAGCCTGTGTCTGACCGCCAAGAAAACAAATCCAGGGTCACATTTCGATATCAAGCCAGATGCAGGGCCCCAGATGCACAATTTGAAGCCCTGTTTCCCCTCTCCCTTATGTTTTTCGTGACCAAGATCGTGGCGGGCAAGTTTGGAAATTTGCCAGCTCAGACGCGTCACTTACAACATGCAATTTCGCACATAAAACAGCCCAGCTTCTCGCCGTCACCTAACCTGGCGAGCAGGCCCCCAAATTGCAGACTTTTTACTATGATTCATGTTCAAATTATATAAGTTATAATTTAATATAGGCTTGGTAGGTTGTTACTGAACCTTTCTGTAGGGGGTACAAACCCCTCCTTGTACTCCCCTCTCTTCTAATCCAACTCTCTTTTCTCTCCTCAACTTTCCTAGCACCTAAAACCTCTCGCCATTCTCATGGCTCCTCCTAGCTCCTAGCTAAACCTTGTGCCATTCTATGGCTTCCTAGCTAAGCTGGTCTTTTGACATGGTATTAGAGCAGTTCGTTCCGTGTGGGCCTGCTCCTCGCGTTTCCGCTGCGTGCTCGTTTCTCTCTCTATCTCGCGCTGCCATGGCGGCCGCGTCAAGCTGCTGTGGCCGCGTCGTCGTGCCGCGGCGCCGCCGTCGACGTCCATGGCGCCCGCGTCCAGCTGCTGTGGCCGCGCCGTCGTGCCGCAGCTCCGCCGTCGCGTCAAGATGCTGTCGCGACGTGACGGCGCCGTCACGCTGCCGCGGCGTCTACGCGACAGCGCGCGGTCGGCGTAACGGCGACGTCGTGCTGCCGTCGCAACGTCGACGCCCCGCTGCGGCATCGACGCCGCTCCATGATGGCGTCGTCGGGCTGCAGCCGGCCGCGTGACGCTTGTGGCGCCGCTAGACCGGCCGCCCGCATGTCAGCCTGTGGCGCCCCCCCCCCCCCCCCCCACCCCCCTCCTTCCCCTGTGCCCTCTTCCATTCCGCAGACGACGGCTGACTCCCGCCGGCCGTCCCACCGTCGCGGGGCCTGGCCACGTCACCGAGAGGTGCGGGTGCCGCCGCCGCTGCCGCTGTTGTCGAAGCCGCCGCCGCCGCCGCTGTCGCCGCTTGCGTCGGGGCCACGCAGCCGCACGCCGCCGCCGCCGCCGCTGTCGACACTGCCGCCGCTGCTGCCGTCGCCGCCGCAGCCCCTGCGGTCGACGTCGCCGCCTCACGCACCGTGGGTCGACCGACCTAGAGTCGCTGTCACTGTGGCTGGAATGGGGGTGCTAGGTTAGGGGGTGTGGGTGTGTGTGGGCATGTGACTACCAAGCCTAGGGGGTGTGTTCAAATTATATAAGTTATAATTTAATATAGGCTTGGTAGGTTGTTACTGAACCTTTCTGTAGGGGGTACAAACCCCTCCTTGTACTCCCCTCTCTTCTAATCCAACTCTCTTTTCTCTCCTCAACTTTCCTAGCACCTAAAACCTCTCGCCATTCTCATGGCTCCTCCTAGCTCCTAGCTAAACCTTGTGCCATTCTATGGCTTCCTAGCTAAGCTGGTCTTTTGACAATTCAGACTTTTTTCAGAGTTTTTTTTGGGGTGTACTCTGATTGGGAAGACTTTTTTTTGTACCTTACTCTGATTTTTCAGAGAAGATTTATGTACCTACGCTGATTTTTCAGACTTTTTTTACTAGTGTACTCTGATGCCTCAACTCTGTATGGGGGGTCGACTCTGATTTGTGTAATGCCAGGTTTAGGGGGGGGAGCGTGATTTACCTGTGGGGGGGTGCTGATTGGCCCTTAGCCAAAATCAGGGCGAGATGCTTGTGGGGGGCTTTGTGAGGGCAGTTATTGGCCCTTCACCCAAATCAACGGCCAATGCGTATTGGGGGCTGTGTGAGGGAGTTGACTGGCCCTTCACCAAAATCGCTGGCCGATGTGTACTGGGGGCTGTGTGAGGGAGGTGACTGGCCCTTCACCAAAATCACCTCCCAGTTTGTGATGCGTGCGGTGTGAGGAGCCGATTGGCCCTTGGAAAATTTTGCAGAGGTGTGCTTGCCACTGCAGCGAGCTGTGTGTGCGAGGGCACCCATTGGCCCTTCACGAATAGCCACCTGGATGGCCCCGATTTCCCTACCTCCCCTGCAATTTTGATTTGCCCGCCCTCCAATTCTTTTCCGCCCCCATCCCTCGATTTCGTCCCCCATTCGCAATTCGCCACGATCCCGTTTCTCCACCAACCGATATCGTCGCCGTACCTCAGGCACGCGAAATTACTAGACACGGAACGGGGAGGGGAAGGGATAGAAACCCGTGAAAGACTCACCTAAAATTTTTAAAATCGTATGTCAGTCTGTCTGGGAGATTATCAAAGTAAAAAAATCTTCTGTCAGGCCTGGCAAGAGCGCTGTACAATACAGCACAGCTTTGCCATGAGCCTCGCTGATCAACCAAACCCGCACCAGCGCGGGGCCGGGCCTAGGGTGCCGCGAAATTCCGCGCCGCCGCCAGAACACAGATACGGTAGGGAGCGCACGCGAGAGAAAGCCCCTCAAGCAAGAATTATGAGGGCAGCGGTTGGGAAGGGAATGGAAAAGTAACGTGCAAAACACTCACTTTGAAATCAGAGTTAAAAACAATGGTAACTCTGATTAATCAGACAAATAAATTATTGTTACTCTGATTTTTCAGACTTTTTTTAGGGGGCGACTCTGAAGGCCATACCAAGAGATGGCAGGCAAGTCTGATGAATCAGACAAGCCCAAAACCAATTTGGGGGCCTGCTGGCGAGCCAACGCACGGAATACGGAAAGCTCGCAGCGGATTCCTCATTCCGATTCTTTATTCCGGAATATCGGCTTACCGATCAGGGCCGTATTTCGTACGAGCACTGTACATGGATGAGGCAATGATCACGAGAATGTCTTGCTAAGTAAACCCTGTTAACGTAGAAACGAATGATTACTAGAGGTGGAAACCTAGAACAAATACTAGTTGGTTGTACTCACTAGAAGCATACCTCAGTCTAGCCTATAACTTCTACATAGATAATATGTATAAGTTGACACACCCCCTAGGCTAGACAAGGGGTGAAACTAAACAAGAAGCAAACAGCTCAGGGCGGCACTACTAGTCCAACCACTGAGGCAGGGGTCTGGAGACCAGTCAGCAAGAATACAACCAAAACTGAAGCAAGCCAGGGTGGCACTACTAGTCCAGCCACTGGAGGTAAGGCCACAAGGCCAGTCTGACAAGCATATATAATAGAGAGTACACAATCAGGATCCTAACAGGGGAGCAGCTACAGGAACAAGACCAAGCTGTACACAGTGCCGCTGATGATCTTTAGGCGCAAGCGCCTTAGTAAAGATATCAGCTGTGTTGGCACCTGAGGCCAAGTGAACTACGCGGGCCTGGCGGCGCTGCTGTAGCTCGCGCAGGAGGAAGTACCGCAGCTGGATATGCTTCGCTCTGCCCTCAAGCCGAGGCTCCTGACACAGGAGTATCATGGCCCTGTTGTCAGCGTACAGGACCGGGGCAGAGCTAGGCCGCTCACCTAAGTCTGTGAGCAAGAAGGTCAGCCAGCGGAGCTCCTGTGCCGCCATGGCACCAGCGTAGATCTCAGCCTCACAGCTAGACTGAGCCACAGACGACGAGCGAGTGGATCTCCAAGAGATAGCACCCGAACCAAGGCTGAAACAGTAGCCCTGCGACGACCTGAGCGTCTCAGCGTCGTCTGCCCAAGAAGCGTCTGTGTGTCCAGTAAGGACCACTGGCCTGCGTCCTCCTAGCACTAACCCCATGCCTGATGTACTAGCAAGATAACGCAAAACCCTCTTAGCGGCAGACCAGTGCTGAGGTCGGTGTCTGCCTGTAGCCACAAAGCGAGCCAGGATGCTGAGAGGGTATGCGAGATCTGGGCGAGTGCAAGTCATCAGGTACATGAGGCAACCCACCAGCTCTGCGTAGGGGCCACTGGGCTCTACTGGCTCCTCAGGAACGGAAGCAGAGAGCCCATGGTCTACGGGTAGAGGTGTGGGCTGTGCGGAGGAGAACTGAAGACCGAACCTCTGAAGGACCTGACGCACCAAGTGTGACTGGGTCAGAGTGATGGTGCGTGCTGCTCTGTCCCTAGAGATCTGCAGGCCAAGATAGCGACGCAGCTCTCCAAGGTCAGTGCAGGTGTGTCTCTTGAGCAGCTCAGCCTTCACAGAGGCCAGTGCGTCCCTGTCAGGAGTAGCGAAGACCAGGTCGTCTACGTAGACAAGGATGTAGAACGGAGTCTGGCCGGAACGCACAAACAGTGAAGGGTCAGCAGAGGACGGAAAGAACTGCAGGTCTGCTAACGTGGCACGTAGCGTGTCGTGCCACTCGCGGGGAGCCTGACGCAGGCCGTAGACCGGGCGCCTGAGAAGCCACTGGGTCCCAGGAGGGAAGGTACCAGTGAAGCCCTGTGGTCGGCGCAGGTAGACCTGCTCGT